TCATGAGAGACAAAGAGAGAGAGGCAGAGACACAGGCTGAGGGAGAAGCAGGCTTCCTGCAAGGAGGTTGATATGGGACTTGATCCCAGATCCCAGGATCATGCCCTGAATGGAAGGCAGATGCTCAACCACTGAGCCACCCAGGCATCCCACACCTTAGATTTTTCTAACACATAATTAAGTTCATTTGGCCGTTTTAAACAAGTACTAGTTTCATAAGTCATGAATAATCTTTGGAAACCTAAAATATTAACTAAAAATGTCCTAAGTAGTATTTAGTACATTCTGTAAGCGTGTACTGATTTTGTTTGGAGAAGCAGTTTAGCAAAATGGAGTAACACTTAGATCGGGGATCTGGGACCAGGACATGGTAGGACTTTTCCTACCCAACCATGAAAAGTTGGGCAAGTTATTTAACCTCTCAGGCCTTTGTTTCTTATTCTATAAAATGTGGAAGATAAGTCACTATGCTTCCTCGTATTTTATTTATTATATATCCTTCATCTCTATTAATAAGTAAAAATAATCATTTTTGGTTTTAGCATTTAATGTCTTTTAATTCAGTTTAACTTAATCATGAGGGCCTAGTCACATTTGCAAAATAAGCTACGTTGTATATCCCATAAGTATTTGTCTTATGAAACCTGTAGCTTTGTGTATGGATTTCTGGCACTGCAGGAAATGTGATTCAGGAATCAACACATGGGGAGACCTTTGAGCAACTTCCCAACTACAATAAGGACGTGGTGAGAGAGAGGAATTAGAGTTAGAAGGCATAATAAAACTGGGGCAAGTTATGGAAGGCTTTGAATAATGGATTTAGGAGTTTGAAGTTCATCTTACAAGCAATAGGAAGTCATTTTATAATGGAATGACTTCGTGTAAGTTGCTTCTTAGAAAGCTAATCCAGCAGTTATGGGAAACAGTATGTAATGGGGAGAAATGAAGGCAGCTTAGAGTCTTCTGAAGTTTTCAAAATATGAGATAATGTGGGTCTTGTCTATCATGTTGACAGTGGAAAAGGAAAAACTGAGAAGGAATTAAAAGACTATGTAGGAGGGACACCTGGGTGGCTCAGTGGTTGAGCATCTGCCTTCCATTCAGGGCATGATCCTGGGGTCCTGGGATCAAGTCCCTGCAGGGAGCCCGCTTCTATCTCTGCCTTTGTCTCTGCCTTTCCGTGTGTCTCTCATGAATAAATAAAATCTAAAAAAAAAAAAAAAAAAAAAAAACGTGGGAAAGAAAGCACAAGAGAACACTGGAAGAAGGTCATTAACTGAAATAAAGAAGTTTGGAAATGTTGCTGTTGGAGGGAGGATCTTGAGCATTGTTTTAGGCAATTTGAATGGCAAGTGATGGTGAGAAGAGTTCAGTGGAAATGGTAGCTGGTAACATCTTCTAATTAGGGAAGAAGCAAAGCCATGAAGAAGGACAATGGTAAAACAAATGAGATAGATAACTACTCTATCTGGTTTAGCAGGAAAACTATAGATGAAAGTTTTGTCTGGATAATTTTGGTCCAGGTTATAAGAAGATAGCAATATATTATCATATGATCTTGTATCTGCATCCTCAGTGTATTATGCTAGCCTTGGAAAAATTGAAGGAAGCAATCAGTAAAATCTTCAGTATTTAGTTTCACAATGAATACTTTTGAAAAATGAGAAAAAAGATAGATAGATACCTATTTGGAAAGAGCCATTGATGAGATGTTTGAGGGACTCTGACTCATTTTAAATCTGACTCTTTTTTAAATGGTTTGTATAACAAAATACAGAATTCAGCAGTGGGTGAGGTGCCTTAAAGAACTGGATTAAAATTATAAAAGTCTATGCACATTTTAAACATTTGTGGACAAGGACATGACTGAATTTCATATTGATACTTGACTCAGGCAAAAACTCCAGGAAGCCATATGTTAAAACTGAACCAGAATTATGAGAGAAAAATGTGTCTGCATTTAAATGAGTAAATGAGGTTAATAAATCAATCATGTAGTATTGTCATTAAAATATGTGTGACATACAAATAGGAGTTAAGCGTATAGGAAAATACAAAGATAACTCTGCTATGGTAAGACACAGTTTAAATATTTAATGAAAATCACTTGGTTAACTTAAGTGAGTTATTAAAATTTGGCAAAGATCCAGTGAATGCCAATTAAAATGATCAAATATATTTTAAATGGACCGTATAGGAAAGGCCTAAAGAAAAATTATGTAATCCATAAGAGAAAAGGCTAAAGACAAACTGTAATGTCCCTCCTCCTGAATTTAGGAGTTATATTTACTCCTAAACAATTTCAGAGAGAAGGACCATCTTTTTAAAAAAAAAAAAAACACAGAATCTGAAGAATTGCCTCAGTTGCTGCTACAGCTTCTGTGAGGTCGAGGTATAGTGACATATATTGGTTACTAAAATGGAAAGACTGCTAGGTTGTGACCAGTTTCTGAAGGATCAATTAACATGGAAATGGCAATCACAAAATACAGGCATACCTTGGAGATGTTGCTGGTTCAGTTCCAGACCACCATAATAAAGCAAGTATAAGAATAAAGCAAGTCAAATGTATATTTTGGCTTCTCAGTGTATATAAAGGTTGTGTTTACACTCTACTGTAGTCTGCTAAGTGTGCAATAGAATTATGTCTAAAAACACAATGTACATACTATAAAAACACATTTTTGCTAAAAAATGGTACCCTTCATCTGAGCTTTCAGCAAATCATAATCAATGATCACAGATCACCATAACAAATATAAGATTAATGAAAAAGTTTGAAATATTGCAAGAATTACCAAAATGTGACACAAAGACACAAGTGAGCAAATGCTGTTGGAAAAATGGTGCTGACTTGGTTTGGTGTAGGGTTACCACATACCTTCAACTAATTGGCAAAACACATAATATCTGTGAAGAGCAATAAAAGAGGTATGGCTGTACTGTGGGGAGGGATGGAGAAAGCTTCTCAAAACATAATTTAGCTATAATTAGAGCAATCTCTTCTTTGCTGATCACAATAGGTACTTCTTATGTACTAGTCTGCAATCTTGCCAATAAAAACTAGCACTACAGACAATCTCTAATTTAAGATGGTTCAAATTACAGTTTTTAGATTTACAATCGTGAAAGTGATACAACATTCAGTAAAAACTGTACTTGGAATTTTGAATTTGGATCTTTTTCTACTTTAATAATATGCTGCAGTCGACTTTCTTGTGAGGCTGGGCAGCAGCAGCAAGCCACAGCTCCCAGTCAGCCACTCATTTATGAGGGTGAATACCCAATACACTTACAGTGATTTTGTACCCTTACGACCATTCTTTCAGTACAGTATTTCAAAACATTATTCAATACATTTTCACTTGAGTATAATATTCAATAAACTATATGAAATAGTCAGCATTTTATTATAAAATCGGCTTTGAGTTAGGTGATTTCATCCAGCTGTAGGCTAATAGAAGTGTTCTGAGCAAGTTTAAGGTAGGCTAGGCTATTACACACACACACACACACACACACACACACAGAGGAAGATATGTATTTAAATGGAAAATAGAAAAAGTATCTTTAGAAATCTTTAATTCCTCTTGGGAAACAGATGTAGTGCAGTATTCTTACGATTAAGTCAACACTAAAAGATGTGTAGCTTAATTACGTATGTTATACAAGAGAATCACTAGAATGTAACTCCGATCAGGAATGACAGACAGGATTTCCCTTTTCTATTTTTATTTTATGATAGTCACACAGAGAGAGAGAGAGAGAGAGGCAGAGACACAGGCAGAGGGAGAAGCAGGCTCCATGCACCTGGACGTGGGATTCAATCCTGGGTCTCCAGGATCGAGCCCTGGGCCAAAGGCAGGCGCCAAACCGCTGTGCCACCCAGGGATCCCAGGATTCCCCTTTTTAATTCTAGTCAATTGGAAGGGATTTCCAGGGGCTCTTTGTTGAGAAGGATACTAAAGCAGAGTTACCCAGTAGGAAAGAGTTAATGATTGATTTGTAACTTCCATGGAAACCTCCTGTGACCTTTTTACCTTTCTAAAAGCAGTGGCCATTTCTCAGGCCTCACGTTAATTAACCTATTAGCAGCAGTTGCCACAGTTCATTCCCTCCTCCTTCACTTTCTGCAGGTAGCTACTAGTTCCTCTCATCTACCTAGGGAAGGGGTTCAGAGCAACAATCTGCAAAATGTGCTACTTTGGCATGTGAACTACTTTGAAAAGCTGAGGAAGGCTTCTATATGCCATTTCACTTTTCTGTCTTTGAACCTCTCGTGTATATGGGGCTCCCGTAGATGCAAAATTAAATGCGATTCTCTCATGTTAATCTGTTTATGTCAATTTAATTCTTAGGCCATCCGTAAAGAACCTATTGAAGAGTAGAAGAAAATTTTCCATTCTTGCACAAGCCACTGTACTGTCTTCATTTGCTGATTCCTCTCCCCTTCCCTCCCTTTTAGAGTTGGAGTGCTCTGACACTGAGTCATTGTATCACTTCTTTTTTTTTATTAAATATTTTATTTATTTATTCATGAGGAGACAGAGAGAAGACAGAGACACAGGTAGATGGAGAAGCAAGCTCCCTGTGGGGAGCCTAATGCAGGAATTGATCTCAGGACCTTGGGATCATGACCTGAGCCAAAGGCAGATGCTCAACCACTTAGCCACCCAGGTGCCCCAACACCTTATATAAACTTGCTCCCCAGAGAAGCAAGGTTCAATAGAAAAATAATATGAGCCATAAATGCAACTCATATATGTAATTTGAAATTTTCCAGCGGGTACATTAAAAAAAAAGTAAAAATAAACTGGTGAAATTCATATATATATATCTATATATATATAGATATATATATAAAATTTAACCCAGTATACCTCAAATATTAGCATTCCAACATATAATCAGTATAAAATATATTTTTATATTAATATGAGGTATTAAAATATTTTATTTTTCTTTTAGGAAACATTTTATTGTTGCTTTAAGTTTATGAATTTTCACTGACAGAAAACCAGCACTTTCAGAACATAGCCCTACTTGGCTTCCTAATCTTGGTTTTTGTAGACATATCAGCATATTTCTCTTCAGTACAATCATTCCATCCATGATTGATGGATCAATCCTAACCTCCAATTTCTGTACTTGGCTTTGGTTTATGAAGCTCTTCAGGACTGTTTTTAATTCAGAAAGAGTGACTTTGTCTAAAGAAGATGCAAAAAAAAAATAAGATGCAGTAGTAACTATGCAAGGTACTTTTTTACGGTGGGCACTCATTAATATTAATGAGATACTTTAAGTTCTTTTGTTTTAATTCTAAGTCTTTGAAATCCACTGTTGCACTTGTAGCACACCTCAATTCAGACCAGCTGTATTTCACATGCTCAATAACCACATGTGGCTAAAGCCTGCTGTATTGGACAGCATGGCCCTAGATGATCTTATCCAAACCCTTAAAGTGCCATTTATATCCTATTCTCAAATTTATATTTCTTGCTTGGACGTGTCTCCTGAACTTCATACTCAGAGGGTCCATGTGACATCAATTCTTGGATACCTAATGTGTCTCTAATTTATGTCCAAAGCTGAACTCTTGGTCTCCTCCAAATTTGCTTTTTCCCATCTGAGTTACTGGCAACTTCACCGATTGCTGAGGCCAGAAACATTGGACTCAACCTTGAGTCCTTGCTGTCTCAAACTTTACGTTCAACATACAACTCCTGTGGCACTATTAGTTGAATGCTGAAGATATATACAGACTGATTACCACTACCATGGTCCAAACTCCCACTCTTGTCTGGGTTATTGCAGCAGCATCCAGACTGACCCCCCACAGGCTATCCTCATAGCAGTAGATATCCTTTAACAACATAAGCCAGATCAGGTCACTAATCTGTTCAACATTCTCCAATGGCTCCCCGTCTTACTGAGAGTAAAAGCCAAAGTCTTTCTAATGACCTTCAGAAGTCTATAGAATCTGGCCTCCTACTATTTCTCTGACTTAATCTCCTTCCTAACTCTACTCTAGCCACTCTTGCATCCTGCTTTTTCTTTAACACGTCAGTCTTATTCTAGCTTCAGGGCCTTTAGACTTGCTACACCCTTGCTTATCCTCATGGCTCATTTTCTCATCTCTTTCATGTCTTTGCTCAGATATCTTTTCAGGGAATGAATGAATGGATGAATTAGTGAATTAATGAATGCAATACATGACATGACATGAATAGGTGCCATACAGAGGCGTCAGTGTAAGTGCCACACACCCTTCTAACAGAAGTCAACACACAATTAACTTTCATTTTTAAAAATTTTTTAAACTCTTTTTTTTAAAAGATTTTATGTATTTATTCATGAGAGACACAGACTGAAACAGAGAGGCAGAGACATAGGCAGAGGGAGAAGCAGGCTCCTCACGGGGAGCCTGATGCGGGACTTGATCCCGAATCCCGAGACCACGGCTTGAGTTGAAGGCGGGCGCCCAACCGCTGAGCCACCCAGGGGTCTCTCTTTCAACTTTTATTGATCATATATATGTAACAGGTGTCTATGATTCTTTGGTCTTAGTGAAGGGAAAGGTTGAAATAATCTTGTGGCTTTAGAAGGTTTTTGAATGTTTTTAGCACGTATTAGAACAAACAGCTGACTTCCTTAGTCACTGAGAAAGCAGCGTCTATTAACAAATATATATCTTGTCAGATAACTTAGGGCTTCCTCTTAGGCAATGAGAATCTAGAAACATAATCCCTCAATCCAGGCAGTATTTAAATCACTGCAATATTAGAACACCTGGTTGTAGTCCTAGTTTGACTCTTAGCTTGGCGAATGACTAACTCACTTCTCCGTTTACTGGCTTAATTCTTTTATTCCTATGGTAAGATGTCTAATCTCATCTATTGCCCAATTCAGTCTAAGATAATAGGTCAGTATATACTTGGATGTTACAAATGGTACAAATATGTATGCTTGTGGAGTTTGAGGATAAAAAGTCTTTTTTTAAATCTAAGAATTTATAAATCAGGGATGCCTGGGTACATCAGCGGTTGGGCGTCTGCCTTTGGCTCAGGGAATGATCCCAGGATCTGGGATCAAGTTCCACCATGAGCTCCTTGCAGAGGGCCTGCTTCTCCCTCTGCCTGTGTCTCTGCCTTTCTCTCTCCCTTTCTCTCTGTCGAGTGAATAAATAAAATCTTAAAAACAACAACAACAACAACAACAAAGAATTTATAAATCAGAGCTGTTTAAACCTAGTCTTCCGGTGACGGGCACTGAGGAGGGCACTTGATGGGATGAGCACTGGGTGTTATACTATACGTTGGCAAATTGAATTTAAATTAAAAAAAATTTAACCTATTCTTCTGGTTGTGGTAGACTTGTAGCAACCTAATAAAAAGGTTGTTAATCTTTTTATTTTTCAACACTATTTTCACTAGCATCCCTTCTATGATTGATTTTATAGCTTATTTTAGTTCACACCTGCCAGTGTTTTAGTCCAACCTAGCTCAAAACAGAGAACCATGATCAGCCTGAGTAATCAACCTGACACATTAACATGTGTAGCTCACCTCAAAAAATGGATTCGAGAAAAAGAAATGGATTTGATATTAAAAGGGTGGGGAGAAAAAAGGAAGTATTTAGGGAAGAGATGAAAGTCATTAAAATGGCTCAATTCAATCTAACAAGTTTTATCGGGTGCAAAACTATGCCAGTCATTTTAGTAATGCCAAAATAAGCAAGACAGTCTGCCATCAGAGAATCTAGCCTATGAGGTGAAGAAGTGGTGCATAAATTACTAAAGTATCATGCAGAGTACAGAAAGGAAATACAAGGAGAGGGGGGAAAACTACCATTAATTAAGGACATTTTTAACATGTCAGAGGCAGTCACATATATCGACTCACATATCTTAACGACCCCTCCAAAACCTCCAGGTAAGCTGAGGGAGGATAGGGAAGTCGTTCAAGGTCATCCAAGCTAGAAAGTGTATACTGGCTTTTGTCCCCAGCCCACGTTCCGAAGCCTAGGTTCCTTTCAAGACGTCATTGCTAAGAGGGAGATCAAGGAGGAGTGGAAAGGGAGTAAGCCAAGCCTGGATACTCCTAGCTGCGGTGGAGGGAACAAAGAGACCAGAGAAGCCGTTCGGGCGGCGGCGGCGTGTGAGGTGGGCCTTGAAGGGTGGACCGGAGGTTGGGCGGGCCCGTGTGGGGAGGAGGGCGGGACGTTCAGCCGCAGAAGTAAGGAGAGCCGCTGGCACAGCTCCCAGTTCTTCGACTGGAGGAGTCGATCCGGGCTGGGAAACTGACGTCCGGTGGGTCGTTTCCTCTCCGCGCCACCCCAGGCTTTTCCTTGGGGCTTTTCATCGGTCACCGGTCTGGCCGTTAGGTATACATGATTTCTGTAACTGGAAAAATCTCAGTGTTTTAAAAGCGACCAGCGAGTCCCTAGCACGGTGGGCGGAATCCTGCCGGCGCCCCTGGCACACCCCCTCCCTCCCGGCCCCTCAGCCAGGCCGCCGCCACCTGGCGGGCGGGCGTCCGTCCCCCGGGAAGGGCGCTCACCCCCGCGGGCTTTGCGCCTGCGGCCGCCGGGGTCCGAGCGGGGGCAGCGGGGGCCGAGGGGGCCGGGCCGGGGCAGCCCCGGCGGGGGCGGGGGCGGGGCGGCGCGGGGCGGCGCGGCGCGGCGGGCGCACCTGCCCGGAGCGGCGGGGTGGCCGGCGGCTGCGCGGACCGACGTGCCCCCCTCCTTCCACTCCCGCCTCGCCGTGTGTTTACGTGGAGACGAAGATGGCGGCGGCGGTGACGGCGTTCCCCGGGCGGCGGAGGGCGGTCAGCCAGTGAGCGCGGAGACTGGTTCCACGCCGGGCGGGGGGGCGCCGGGCCCGGCCCTGCTCCCGAAGCGGCGGGGCTTGCTGTCCCACCTCCCTCTGCATCGACCTTCCGTTTTCACCCCGGACCCACTCCCTGTCTTCCCCCAGCCTTCCCGTCAGAGGCCATGGAGGACGAGGAGAGACAGAGGAAGCTGGAGGCCGGCAAAGCGAAGGTAAGAGACCCGGAGGCTGCTGGGGCCCGCGGTGGGAGGCGGTGGCCGGCGAGGGGCGGGAGAGGGCCTGGGAAGCCGAGGTCGCCGCAGCCCCGGCTCGCTGCGCGGCCGGGAGGCGCCGCAGGACCCGAGTTTTCCCTTTGCCCTCTTCTCCTTTTTCCAGCTGAAAACGCTTGGTGTGACTAGCTCCTCGCGGATGGTACTTCCGTGATGGTTGGGTGGTGTGGCTTCTCCCCGGTGAATGCCCAGATAAAAGCCTTCCTTTCCTGCCTTGCCGTGAGCTGGGATTCTTTGCGTCTAAGCCTCCAGCCTTTCGCTGTCTGAGGGAGTTCTCTGCCTAGTCAGGCATTGTGCTTTTCAGGGTGGGGACTGAGGGCTTTTCTTTATTTGGTGGGGGATTTGTGCGTGGGTCACAGCGGAGCCCTCTTCGGTGGCGTGCCGGCACTCCTGGGTACGTGACGGCCTGTGACAGCTGCCTTAGCGGCGGCCCCCGTGTGCCACAAGTGCCAGCTGTGGAGTTCGCGTCGGGGGCGTTTTCAGAGACGGCCTCTGCGCTGTGTTCGGAGGTCTTTGTCGTGGCGCGCGCTTGTGTTGTGTGGAACGGTAGTGCAGTCCGAGCCCGACTGCGGGGGACGACAGGCACCGGGATCTAAGCAACACCTATAGAATTCCTGCTTTCCAGGATCGTCGAATCGTTATAGCGTTCGAGTGAGCCCGTATCTTAGGTCTGCGTGAAAGAAAGAAAGAAAAAAACCTGTGAAGCAAAGGATACCTGACTATAAACAGATACTCCTCACCGACCTTCGTGAAAAATTTGATAGACAAGACCTAAACTAAATAGCATATTTCTTTTAGAAATTACATATTCGAGTCTGTCTTCTAGCTGGTCTCAAAGCCGCCCCCCCATCCTCCGTTATGACGACGTTATCTTTTATAGATTATATACCGTCTTATTAGAGATAATGGTTAACAGTCATACTTGGACCACAATTAAATTATAATATAGTTAATTGTTGTTGTTTTTTCTTTCTTCCTCTCTTTTCCTTCCTCCAAACAAATAAAAGGGACAGGGGTCCATGATTTCAGTAATCATTGAAGGGCTATACTGCAGAGATGCGGTAGTAGATGCTCAACCCAAGTTTCTTAGATGAGTATGCATATAACCTAGCTTCATATTTCTGAAATACAGTTGGCTTTCCCGTAAGTTCCTTCTATCTGAGATCAAAGCTTGAGGGCTTTTATGTTACCAGGTAGATTATTACTTTAAAATCTGTAAGTGGAGGAAAGGGGAATCAAGATATCTTAAGAAGCCCAGAGTTGCTTACATTTCTGCAACCTGAAAGTCTGAGCAAGCTCTGAATCCAAGAAGGTGGATAAAGTGTGTGCCTCCTTTGGAGGCATTGATGTTCTAATTAGACATTTCGTTAATTCAAAGTTTGGATTGCCTGCCCCCAGAATTATCTTCCTAAAGATATGTACAGAGTAGTCCTACAAAATATTATTTGCTTTGGACAACACGTATAACAGGATTTATTTAAATTGATTTGGCCAAAAAAAAAAAAATTCTAGTTTCTTTGTGTGTGTGTATGTTTGTCCTTCAGTACTCTGCTTATGGAGTGAAAATCTTTTTCCTTTAATAGTCACTTATATTGTAGAGGATTATTGTCTTCTGGAGTTGAGCCCAGTTTTTCTAGTGAGAAATAAATCTGTCAGATCTATAAGGCAAGAGTTCTTTGCTGGAACATTAGCTGTACAATATAAAAACACTGGAAACAAGGAGAGAATTAGAATCATTGTTTTCAGATCATGTGAATGCATCGGAATATTACGCAGCCATTAAGATTGATGGCCAATAAAAATATGAAAAATAGAATGAAAACAGCATCCTCAAAATTAGTGTATATATTATTGTTTTAACTTGTGTGCTTTTAGATTAGGACTTAAAAATTTTGTAAAGTCATTCAGCAAGCCTATATTGAACTCCTGTTTTATACCAACAGTCGGAAATTTAGAGATGGTGACAGTCTCTGTTCTCGAGTTGCTCACAGTTTAGTGGGAGAGACAGACACTGGGTAATATGCACAGTGAGAGAAGAGGTACAGTAGGATTTGGGGTGAATTTTTCATTTGTAAAAGTGTGTTAAATGCTGCTACCTTGCTTTTAAGACTACAGAGAAGGCTCTTGATATTAATGCAGCCAGTCATGGTACCTACCACATAGTAGGTACTCAAATATTTGCTTAATGAGTGAATGAGTAGAATGACTATGAGTCGTTCACAGGTACTACTTTATTAGAATGTTGTAATTTAATAGCAGTAATTCTCTTAATTGGAAGTCTGTTATTGATGGCATCAGAAATCACACTGATGATTTCTAAAGCTTTTTTTTTTTTTTTTTTAAATTTTTTTTTTATTTATTTATGATAGTCACACAGAATGAGAGAGAGAGGCAGAGACACAGGCAGAGGGAGAAGCAGGCTCCATGCACCGGGAGCCCGACGTGGGATTCGATCCCGGGTCTCCAGGATCGCGCCCTGGGCCAAAGGCAGGCGCCAAACCGCTGCGCCACCCAGGGATCCCTCTAAAGCTTATTTAGAAACTTGGCTTTCTGAATGTCTTGTTTATTCACTGAACTTAAATATTGTATTTGATAATATAATTTTATGAACCATAGCTTTTTAATTTTTCTCTTGGTGCTTGGTAAGCTGATCATTGAAAAATTTGCTGTCTGTATTTAGATCTTATAAATGATTATTTTTAAGGTTTGTATGCAGCATAGTATGCTTTATAAAATAGCAACAAAAATTGCAATGATAGAATAAATTCTGGTACATGTGGCCATTAAAATAATGCTATAAAGATTTTTTCAACTGGAAAAATGTCCATAAATAGTGCCAGGTTAATAAGAATGTTACCATATAAAGTCTGTGTACATACCTATATATATGAAGACACCGGAAAAAAAAAATGCACTAAGATGTAAATGATGGTTATCTCTGGGTGGTGGGTTATTGGCAATTTTAAATTTCTTTACACTTTTAGTATTTTCCAGATTCTCTACAGCATTTTTTAGGATCAGTAAAAAATGTTTAAATGCTATTTTTAAATACAGTAAAAGCTTATCAAATAGAGTATGATGAAGAACTCATTATACTGTATGGTTATTATAGAGAATTTAAAAAAATGAAGTACAAAAAAGGTAGGTTTTCTAAGGGCTCTCACTTTGGTGTACTCCTGCAACTGTAATTCGTATTCCAGTGTTGCTTGTGTTCCATAGTTGGGAGGCTGAATTATTAGACTTGCACGGACTTCCTTTCTGTTTTGTAGTTCTTTTTTCCTTGCTGTTCTCATTGCCGTGGTCATGTTCATCTTGCCTTACTCCATCTCCTCTGACTCTTTGGCTAATTTGTTTTAGGTTGCTGTGACTGGAGAATTTAGTGAATTTGATAGGATGGTTTACAAAAATCAGGGCCAATGGAGTGCAGTGAGTGGGCTTTAGTTTTCTACTTGTTGGTTTTTTGGTTGCAGTTGAGTCCTCAGCTACTTCCTCAGTGTTAATGTAGCAAGAAGCCTGACCCATGGAGATGTGAGACATTACTGCATTATTAAGTAAATATTTTCAGAGCTGGACTAACCCCGTTTACAAGGTGCTGATGGGGATGGGACTACACAGACTGGCTTTGTGTTAAACTACTTTAAATGACTTCATTCTTTTCCAAGTGAAATTATTTACACTTATATAAAGAAAGTATTTTAATATTAGTGAACAAAATTAGAAAACAGTTGGGTAATTAGTATTATTAATCACTGTTATTACTCCTGTAAATTCACATTGGGTATACTTAACATTTTATTCAACATTCTATTATTCATGTACCAGAATTCAGTAAAACAAAAGTTTTGCACCAGCCATCCAGCATTGTATATAATTGGCATTATTTGTTGAATAATTAAGATTTTTGCCTGTTGCATTCAGTAAGTATTTACTGTATGATTTTTATTTAATGAGCATTTTCTGTTTGAAAAGTGCCATTTTTATGCAAAAAAGGACAGGGCTCTATGCAAGCTCTGTGTTAGGTTATTGATAGCTGAACTTTTTAATTACTGTTTCCACTGAATAGACAAAGTTACTTCTGGTGCAAAATTGTTCCTTGCTTAATTCAGATACATTGCTCCACCACTAAGCAAATTGCTCTTCATCCTTGTTTCTTTAAAACTTTCTAGTTTTTTCTTTTTTGAATAAGTACAATCCGGGAATCAATAGTTGCATGCTCTGCCGCTGAGCCAGCCAGGCACCCCCAAACTTTCTAGTTTTTTATTCTTATATGTGACATAACTTACTTAGCTTTCAAAGTGGATACAGCAGTTTGATACCTTCATCATCATTTTTTTTTCCATCATCATTTATTGTAACAGTTGTGTATTGTCTCTGACTTAAAAACTAATTCATGAGCTTTAGGCTTTATTGAAAAACAAAACAAAACATGGTTTTTAGATTTGAGCTTTAAGAGGGGTAATATAGAGGAAAGAATGAGCAGAATAGGCTTCTTAAAGTATATAATGAACAAAAGTTTCTACAGCAAATCCAAGAAATGGCAGGAAATGGGTGAAAGAGCCATAAGATCCAATGAAGAGAGATTTAGCAAAGAGGTCTATGGTGTCCTGTCAGTGAAACTGAAAGTTGAATGAGCACCTGGAAGAGAGGAAGTGACAAAGATAGGATATATCCAAGTAACTACAATATGACAAGATTGGGTAAGAATTCTTTTTAAACAAAAACGCCTCTTATTTTTATATATGAAGCTTGTAGGAAGAGCTCAACTATGACAGTAAAATAATCTATTATAGGCTACTAATTATTGAAATGTAAGTAAATTTCTAATATGGAACTAGAAAAAGTTCTCTGGTAAATTAAACATTAAATGATAAGGAACATCACATTTCTTTAAGATTCCACTAAAATTGAAATTAGTCATCTTATTTCATTGGTTACAGCTCTTT